GATGAAATCTATGTTCAATACAATGTTAAATGAATATGTAAAATGTCCCAATAGTTAGATTTGGGAGTTGGAAGACATGGCCTATGAATAAGCAAAAGACAAAAGAGACTTCATGTTTTTTCCTTTTAAAATATAGAAATGATTAAGACTGTGTTTTCTTCGTTTGTCTGGAGGTCAGAAATATAAATATAACTACATAATTATCCTTTTGATGTGTATCTGGTAACTTTCTCCAAAGTAATTAAAACTTATTCCACTCATGATGTCTTCAGAATTTAAAAAGGAATTTCTTAAGTTTTTCAAAGAAAGATAGCATAAAAATCAAGGTATTCGTATCCCTGAGATATATCACCCTTTAAAATACCTGGCAGTTTAAATCTAAATCACCAGGTATCAGTAGGATGATTTAATTTCATTCCTGATCCCAAAATGCAAAGATGCTGGAAATGTCCTAGTAAACTTGGAGGAAGATTTATGAGATTTAGTGGCCCGGGTAGGAAAGTGATGGATTTCTGGGCATAAAAATAATTTAAGTATTGCTTCTGAGCCCAATAGCCATGTATTTAGGTCCCGGATAATTTCAATTTCTCTATACTTACCTCTTCTCACTGGGGAAACAGAGTAAATTATGCTGCTGATGATTTGGGCTAACCAGCTAAAAAGCACTCTGACACCAGCAACATGAGTGCAAGGAAAAAAGTAAAGTATTTGTTGTCTGATCAAATCCAAAACACCACATTCTTTTAATAGAGATCTAAAGACAGAAATAATGTTGCTTTCAGGAAGCTGGCATTGATTGTTTTTGTTCTCTTCTTTAAATGCCTAACTTGATGTAGCCATGTCAAGACAGAGTGGAGAACTTCAAACAGCAACTGTTACCTGCTTTTTCAACTTTTCTCATCACTTTCTTCTCTCCTATACCTCTGTATTAGTTACCTTCTGCATCAAAACATCTTCATATCTCATAAACCTGTAGGAAAAAAATCAGTGACACAAAGACTGAAGAATACATATCCTCTTTCCAGGCCTTTTTGGGGGGTACAGGACTGCAATTCTGAGGAAACATGCCAGATTTTGAGAATCTGAGTTTAGTTCTCTCTTCTAGTATAATCTACATTACAAACATATATTAAACTCTCAAACTGTGACACCTGGAAACTTGTTAAGAATTCAGATTTGTGGGCTCTACCCATACAGATTTCTGTTTCACGTTTTAAGAGACCATCAGGAATCTGATGCATTTTAAGCAAGGATTTCAAGCGACGAAACATTGTCATCATTGCTTTTATTCATTAGGAATTTTCCAGTTTTCAAAAATGCCTATACATGCATATTCAGTTCTGTGAGGTAGATGAGAATGATTATCCTCATTTTGAAAATAAAAAAGAAACTCCAAGTTGAGCAATAATTTCCTCAAGGCCTCATTATATACCCCCCGTTGCCTAATTCTCTGGATACTCCCCTTAGCTAACCTTTTTCTATTTGGGTGTTTAATTGCAAAAGGCAGGGAGCCCCCCCAAAGCCAGCCAGTACTATCTATGCTTGCCTTGCTCAAGAATTAGACAAGTCTTTTGGTGACCGAGGAAGGAAAATAATTTTATCTGTGGAATGTGAACATTGCCCTAATTGACATTGTTACCAAATTGATTTTAAGTAATGTCCCTTGCCCCATCCAGATGCACATTTGAAAACGTATTCAGCTTCACTTTTGGAGAAGAGGTGTGTGTATATCTTTTTCACCTGTCTTGTTCTGTCTTGTTAGAATCCCACAGATGAGTCTACTGTCCTCACTCAGCCACACTAAACTGCTACAGAGGATGTGTACTCCCATTGACAGCTGGGATCCCTCCTTTCCTCAGGGTGTCTTGCCTATTAATCCTCATCCCAGCTGGCTGTCCCATGAGCCACTATCTGCCAGCCTTTTGCCTAGATGGCATACTGGAAGGTCCAGGCCCCCAGGCATAGTAGGGTTGTTAGACTCAGTACTTGGTCTAACCAGCCTCACAGATATCAATCCTTTTCATTGCCCAAGTGAATCTCAGCTGGGCCTACACGTTTGTGCCCACATCTAGAGAGCTCCTGGGGTCCCTCTGGGTCCTACATCCATTTTCAGTAGCTTCCAGGGCCTGCATTTTCCTTGTCCCTTATTGGGATGTTTCCAACATGCACCTGTCTATGCTTGGAAATCATACATTTAATCCTTTGGCACTACCCTGGATGCTTAGCGAAGTGTCTGTAAAGGAGAGAGATTAAGGATATTTGAAGACATATTGAGGAAAAATTGTTAGTGTAGCTAATAAGCCACTCCTAGACTTTAGCATGACTGGAAGGTGACTACTCCTTCATACTACATTTTAACTTGGAGGATTCCTCTGCTAAGTTTCTTAAACATCAGCTATCATCACAAGCACTTCTGGAGACCTGATTGCACTCCAAAGCTTGGGTTGACTGCCTTTGCACACGTCACTCCCTCACCCCACCTCCATTCACCCTTTGTGTAGGTTGCTCACTTGGTCCCTCTTTTTAGGGACTGAGCCTGATTTGCAGCTTTCCAGACAGAACCAAGAAATCTGGGTACCAAGGAGGAGGAAACACTTTTTCCTGTTCCAAAATGAGCTGAAGGTGGAGACCGTCATGAGGGCCCAAGAAGCCATTGCTACTTTCTCCAGTGTCCACGTCCTTCCTTCCCAGAGAATTTTACGTGCTGCTCAAGCTTACTGGAGAGAGGATGGACTGCATTCTCTCAGCTCCCCCCTCCCCCACACCCTGCTTTGTGCACCCAGGGTCCTTTAACCTGCTTGTGGTTGTTTCTCTTGTGGGAGGGACGGGATAGAGCAGACCCGAGCTGCAGTTCCCTCAGTCTGCCTCTGAGAATTTTTCATCCAAACCTCAATCACGTAGGATTGCGTAGAGAGGAGAAAAGGGGAGAGACAGAAGACAGAGAGGGGGGAGAAGAGTGACGGGAGGGAGGGAGGAAAGAAGGGAGTCTGGGAGCAGAGGGCGCGAGGAAAGGGAACAGGACCAGAGCGCGCTGCGCTTCCCGGCGCGCCAGGAGCTCGGCCCCACCTGGGCGCTCTCCCGCGGGTCGGCAAGCGCTGCGGGAGAAACCCTGGCTGCCGCCGACTCTCCGTCCTACCCGCCGTCTCGGTGGCTCTCGCCCCTGCCTGGAGTTTCCTGCGGAGCTGGCACTTTAGCCGAGCAAGCCGGTGGGGCGTCGGCGGCGGCGGCTCCCGGGAGCCGGTGCGGTTCGGCGCGCGCAGAACCTCAGCCCATGAATGGGACTCCGCCCTGAGCGCCCCCTCCCGGGCCCCGGGAGGCGGCGGCTCGGCGGCGGGGGGCGCCCAGCAAGCCCGCGGCTCTGAGCGGCCACCCGCGCAGCAAGTTGGGCGAGTTGGCGGCCGCACGCACCTGCCTCCTGGCCCTGGTCCCAGAGTCCGCGTTTGGCCCCAAGGGCCCGGGTTGCGCGCTCCGCCGCCTCTCGCCGTCGTCCCGGGGGCCTCGGGGCCCGCCGGCGCCCCCGGCGCCAGACCATGGTGGGCAGCTCCGGCCCGGAGCCGCAGCCGCCGCGAGTCGACGTCGCCCGCAGCCAGCCCCCGCCCCACCCGAGCGGACGCGCGGGTGTTCGCAGCGCGCGGGTCATTTCCTTCCTCCGCCGGGATGGGCGGCGCGGGACGGAGTGATCGGCCTCGCGTCCGGCGGGTAATCCCCATCTGATCTGCCTGGGAGCTGCCGACTGCCGGGGCGCGCGAGCCTGGGGGGCCCGGGCAGCGCGGCGATGACCTGATCTGGAGCCCGCCAGGGCGCCCCCTCCTTCCCTCCCTCCCTCGCTCCCTCTGAGCCTGTGCGGAGACCGGCTCGGTGCGGCGGCCCCGGGCGGACCATGGCGGGGAGCTCCAGTTAAAGGCGTGTGGGCGCCGAGCTGGAGAGGACACCTTCGGCATCGCTGCCTTTTGAGGGGGCTTATTTAAACTACTGAGTCATTCCAGATTTAGGATTCCCTAAATAATCACCAACTGTGCCCGTCTCGTGCCGGAAAGCAAGCGGAAAGAGAAAGAGCGCCCGCTCTTGGGACCCCGCGGATCGCCTCCCGCGGGTTTCTCCCCGAGGGTGCTTGGCCCTCGAGGATCTCCCTCCCTCCCTCCTTCCCTTCCCCCTCCCTCGCCTCCCGCTCTCTTTGCAGTGCCGCTGGCCGGGAGTCGCGCTCACAGCCCCTGGACACCTCTGCCCCACCCCGCACCCCTACCCAGACTCCGGGTAACCGCTCCCACTTGGCGCCTCTTGGAATTCCAGAACTCGGGTGGCCGGCCCCTGGAAAACCGCAGCCGGCGCGATGCATTCCGTAGACCTCACCCAGCCGGGACGGACCTCCTAATCTCCAGAACTGCGGGCCGCAGGGAGTTAAATTGCTGCCTTCCTCTCCTTCTCTCTTGCGGTTGGTGGCTTGTTTTCTAAAGGAACGTTTTATTCACTTTTTAGTATTTTCTACCGGGGTAGCGCTACCCGCCTCGGTCCAGACTCTGCTTTGTAAACGGGTTTTATATGTATGTATGTGTAGATATACTTTGGACATCTTTCAACGCTTGCGCCTCTCCAGCAGGGGCACGGCTTGTTATTTTGGACATCCTTCGTTCCCTTCCACTTGGTACCCCGAACGCAGTGTGACTAAACTCCCCACTGCCCCTTGGACGCGGATCCCCTTGGGGTGCAAGTTTGGGGAGCAAACGTCTACTTCGCAGGAAGGCCTGGGACCGCCCCGCCCCCGCTGCCAGAGGTTGGGGAAGTTTACATCTGGATTTTCACACGTTTTTGTCGCCACTGCCCAGACTTTGACTAACCTTGTGGGCGCCGGGTTTTCGGTACTGCAGCCTCCTCAAATATTAGCACTGCCTCCCCGCGCCTGTCCTGTCCCTCCTGGCCGCCGAGGTCCTGCCCTCGCCCCGGCGGAGCGCGATCCCGAGAGCGCAGTAGAGCCTGGGGCCTGGGGCCCGCGTTGAGCAGCTATGGCTGCGGCGATAGCCAGCTCCTTGATCCGGCAGAAGCGGCAAGCGAGGGAGTCCAACAGCGACCGGGTGTCGGCCTCCAAGCGCCGCTCCAGCCCCAGCAAAGACGGGCGCTCCCTGTGCGAGAGGCACGTCCTCGGGGTGTTCAGCAAAGTGCGCTTCTGCAGCGGCCGCAAGAGGCCGGTGAGGAGGAGACCAGGTCAGTAGAAGCCCAGAGAGTGGGCTCCCCAGAGGCCGACGCCCTCTCTCCCCTTCCTCAAAGCACCTCAGGACACCCGCGGAAAGGAACCAGGATCCCTTTCTTCCATTCTGGCCCCTCTTCTCCTTTCCTTTTCAGACATCTCTTTCAACCACCCTGTCCTTTAATAGCTTCTTGTCCCATGTTCAGGAAAACACTTTCTACTTTGTTCAATTTAGGGTTTGACTAGAACGAGAGTTGCATGTGTAGATGCACCTAGGCCAAAATAGCCTGTGGAGTCCTTGAGGGCAGTGACCACGTCATTCATTCGTTCATTCATTCTCTTTCTTTCTCTCCCTTCCTCTCTCTCTCCCTCCCATCCATCCACCTATAGTGTAAGAGTACTTATACTGCCCACTGAGGACCTAAAGATAGATAAAGCTCTCCCTTATATCCCTTGTAATCCGTGATAGACACTTAGTAGACGTGAGATGAACTTAAATTTGTTCTTTCTAACTCTTCCTCCAGCAACACATGGTATTGCATCTTTCAGACATCCCAGTCAATTTCACACCTTTCCACTTTCCCACATGCCCTTTCACTTCCTTTTGCCTAGATCTCCTTTAACTATTCTTTTCTTCCATTTATTCTCATGGTTTCCAAGGACTCTGCTCATTAACTTTTCTGTCCTATTACCATTCTTTGCACACTCATACTTACTGTTGAGACATTTAGGGAACAAGATAGTTTCCACAATTTGGCCTCAGGGAGTATAAAGAAAATGTAAGACTCATAGATTTTCATGGCATGGCCTCTCTGAAGCTAATTCTCTTCTGAGGGCTTAAACTCAAATGATTGCTTTTTGATATGTCTCTAGTTACAAAGGGAAATTGGATACCTTGAGTTTCAGTGTGATGATTCCCAGCTCAAGCCAGGCCGGTGTCCCAGCTTGAGAAAATGAAAACAGAATTGCAGAAAGATCTGTGCTTCCATTACACTGTTGATCCTCTGGGTTGTGGCCTCAGGGTCATTTGCAATCTGCAGATATTGGACCCTTTCTGTGGACAAGTGAAAGGAAATACTGTGTAGAAAGGAAGCCTGCTCTGTGTAAACTAGTGACTGGTGCAAACTGGTTGACTAGTTTGTCTCTTTGCAACTCTGTGGTGTTCTTTTGGCTTCCAGGAATGAGGCCCATGGGCTAGGTTCATTGGGGTATGGAAAACACTTGGGAAGTCTGGGCAAGTGGGGCACACAATGAGTTTAAGAAATTTGGGATTAAGTCTTGGAAGAAGCCATCCCATTTCATTTTCCCTTGGTTTATCATGACATTGTCCACTCCATGCTAGACTCATTTTCTTATTCTGTGATGATGATAAAGTAGTAGATTTCAGTAGTAAACAAAAATAATTATGATTCCAAGGTAAGAGCTATTAAAGTCTCTTGTTATTTTACATCCAATTAATATAGTCTGTTCATTTTATAAAACTAGAATTATGTCTGCAAAGTTAATAATTCATACTGGAGGAAAATAAAATCACTTGTTTTGTTGTGCAGGGATCATTTATTTGGAGGCCTTCTTCTTTTAGGGCTTATGTGGTCTACAGGGAACTTTAAGGCTCTGAACTCAATATGACTGTTATGTCTCAGTCTCTGAAGTATGTTCTTGCACTCTATTTGGGGTAATTATATGATTATGTTTTTGAGTTAATCCTACCTAGCCCCCTCAGCTAAAAATAAAGTACTAAGAATGATGGATGGATTATATTTGTGAATACATGAGATAAACTCACCTGATCTATGTTGATTTGGAGATGAACAATGTCTTACTTTGCATGGCTTAATTTGCATGACTTAATTTTGCATGGGAAGGAAGGACTACATTGGTTGCTTCCTGTGGCTCTTTTCTAGTATATCATTAGAAAATAGAGAATTAGAGAGGATTTCTGAGTTTATGTTTTTCTTCAGTATTCATCTAGTTAGTGTTCATCTTAGCAGGGACATCCTGACTGGTGACTTCCTTTAGGTAAAGTGTCACAGCGACAATTAGGCAGAGAGATGGCAAGACCTGCTAAAACATTCCCAGTGCAAGGGCAACATGCATGTGTTTGTACAACACAGACTTCAGTTTGTTCTGAAGCTGAGCTTAGAAGAATGGGAGTGTGGTGTGTGGAAAAGCTTTTTGGGAAGATGATAGTGTGCTATTATCCTTACTAACAAAGCCAAATAATTAATCTGTTGATTTGCTGTCAGCAACCATGATTCACATAGCATGGGATGAGCCTATTTATAGAGAGATAGCACCTTCCCCATCTCAATTCGAAAGAGGATTCTTTGGCTGGATTGGCAGGAAGTTGCTAAACACCAAAAAGAAAACTATTTGAGGGAATCTGTTTTATAAGCTTTTTGATGATGTGTTCACCTGATATTTGAGCTATTCTTGAAACCACTAGCCTTTCTAAGCCGTATCATTGTCAACTACAAACTGAGTCACAAATGGTAAAGTGGTGAAATGGAATAACTTGTCCTGATAAAGAATTTCCACTCTGCATTTCTGTCACTGAAACACAGATTTCATTGAACAGACTTTCTAGGAGAATGAGTCTGAGGCAGTGAGGCTAAGCCAAGTATTAGATGGGAAAAGCCACGGTTGTATTTCTGATTTCAGGGCCCATACATTCAGTATCTCTGCTTTTCTTTTCTGGCATATATCTGTTGAAATCTTATAAACACACTGGAATTCCTGAAGTTATGGCAAAGACTTTAGATTTTAAAATTACCATAACATGGAATAAAAACATGGGAAGTGGCAGGCAGGATCTCACATAACACAGTTCCAAGGCCGTGGTGCAGATCGGATGGTTTGTGAATACTGTCCCTGGAGCACAATGGGATAACATTCCCTGGGATTGTGCAGTAAATCCTTACCTTTAGGGATGAGAAATCCTAGAGCCATAGCAAGTTTGTGGTTTATCTAAAGTTACTCAGCTAGATTGTGGCAAAATTGGGACTAGAACTAGATTCTTTTTTTTTTTTTTTTGCTTGCCTTTGAAACACAACACAGAAAAATGTAGTGTGAAGAACCGGATGTCTTCTGTCAAAGGATGGAATTATATATGGGGGTTGGAATTAGTATTATCATCATCATCATTATTTTATAGTTATAACAGAGATAGGGTAAAGTAGAAGAGGTAACTTGTAGAAGATGGCTTAGGGTAAGAAAGGCAATTCGAGTTCAGAAATGACCACCGTATATAACTGGGATGCATTATTGAAGACCTATAGACCGCACAGGAATAGTTAGTCCCTTAGGCACTGTGTGGGCTGTAGCTCTTTGGATATGAAATGGTGGAGACCCTGTACTGGCAAGTTGGATGAGGTCATTGAACCATGAGCAAGCCTTTAGCACATTTCTGTTTGTGCACTTTCTAATGAAGAGAAGAACATTCTTATGGTCATTATTAGAATAATTGTTTATGTGTGAAATGCCTGTATGAGCCACAGAATATTTGCTTAAATGTTGATACCACTTAATTTGCTGTATCTAG